CCCATTTGTCTATTGCGAACATACACGTACTTATTCTTGACACATCTGTCCTTGTGGTTAACATGGCATTGTGTGTAAAGTTTGGAAGCACTACCATTATTACAATTGTACATGTGAAACAATTGTCCAAACTTTTTACTTTCTTCTTTTCATCACCAAGACATATGATATTGTGTTACAAACAATGGTGTTGGTTCTAATAGGATGTATACAACTTTTCGGTTAATCAGATACATAACAATGACGCGTGATCGAGTGACTGGAAACCGCTTTCATGTGAGTATAAAAACTACAGAGACGACATACCCACCACATTAGCATAAAGAGTGTGTAATTGTGCCCCTAACTTATATAACACGTAGTGTGCATCTATTTACCACTGTGGGGTCTTATTTGTTGTAAAATATGCTATATTTTTATATTTAAAGTTGGAAAATGAGCAACAAGTCTCTGATTAAACCACGGAGTTATTTCCATAATGCGCTAGCTGAGCCCTTTAGTAGTAATACCAATTTGGACTTTCAAGATGATGTCGTAAGACAATTTCCGAGAAGAGATGCGAGAGCGGGATTAGAATTTTAACTAGACACTATATAGATTTAGACTAAATCATATGCAGTGTTCTGCTTTCTTGATCTGATTTAGCCATTACGACCAGTACGATATTTTAAAACAAGTTTATCCTCAATCAGGCATAATAACATTGTTTTTGTGACGTATCATTCGATGAGAAATGTTCATTACTCGGGTCCAGCACAGTAATGTATCGCGGTTTTCAAGAACAAGCCGAAAATGTTGAAGCCAACAATGGACAATAAGTAATATCATAAACTTTTTGCGGTGTAACATTACTTTAAAAATGTGAACCTTGAGTTACTTGACTTGAATTCAACAATAATTTAACTTCATTCAGATAAGAACAGACCAATAGTAACTTAGTAACCTTGTCCTTCAACCAATGAGGTGATTAAAAAAGATAATTGACCACATATGAAATATTGTCAAGCATTTGCAATTTTTTTACATTAGATTATAATCGAATATTAAGCTCAAATATAATTTTTTTCAAACGAATATAAACCTTTATATGGAAAAAGCGAGTAAAACAGTATTAATGGTTCAAATTGTGGGACAAATGTAATATATCAAATGTAATTGTACGTATATATGTATGTAAAAATTATGCAATATTGAACGAAAACAATTTAAAGTTTCAATATACAATTTCCTGATTCAAGATTTCTACCAAAACAAGAATAGAAAAAAATCAAAATGAATAATGTAGGAATTCAAACCAAACAAACAGAATATTGAAAGATTCAATAATTTTTGTAATCTGTACCAGTATAATATAATGTTTCACAATAATTATACTTAACAAATAAAAAATACTATACTATGTTACATTATATTATATTATATTATATTATAATACATATATCAGTAAATAGATGCCAACACAACGTTGATCACATCTGGAATATATTCATACGCAGGTTCATCTCCCAAGGAGTCATATACGACATGGACGTTGTCAATAATTCCAGCATCTTAGTCACACGACTTTCCAGTCATAATACTGCCGTGGTTTGCCATTGCTTTCTAAAGAATGTTCGAGACACTGTCTTCCATGGTAACTGCCTACTGAGGTAATGCACAGGAAGCTGTGATTGATTGCACAAAAACATAAGCGGACCGAAGGACCGTAATTTGTACGGCCCTTCCGACTGGATATATATTCCATATACAATGATACAACATACATTGTATGAAGGTTCCTAAAACTAACAGTAAAGCAACATATCTAACCAAAAATTTGCAATAAAATACTAGCAGTGTTCACCAAATATTACTATATGTACTGTATTAATCGCAATTTTCATCATTATAAGATAATATAACGTGAACAGTACAGCAACACATTAAGCAAAACTGCAAAAAAAAAAAATACTTGCGTTCCTCAACTAAATGTATTATAATAATCTCAATGTCCCTTACAGAATAATATATCAATCTTAAAGAATAGTGTATGAATTTAATTATAACAGCGAAGTAATATGCATAAGCAAAATAATATACTGGCCAGATATATTTGTCATTATTTTTATAATTCATTCAAACTTGTTCCAACATCTTGAACATATTGGACTCGCTAGTTGTACCAATTTTATAGATAAACACATGAAAATTGTCCTATTCATTGTAAGCAAAATAATAAGACATATTTAAGTTAAATTTAACCAACATCTTGAAAATCGAAAACAAACTGTTTGAGTTATTGTAACCACAAGAGTTTTACAATGACGACGACAATAGCAACAGCAGGAACAAGGAGATTTTCCTCTTATATACCTTAGCCTTAACAATAGGAACAAAGTACATATATAATGTTCATTTATAACAGGAATCTACATCTAAATACGGCAGAAAATACATGTTATACAAATACATTATCATCAGAATCATCATAGTCAATATTGATTGTTCACTTGTATCGAATAATCTATACCGCAAGCGCTTTTTACATTTTGTGAACAGGAACTACAGTAAGTAGTATAATATTATTACTAAAAATTGCATATTATTCCATCTTCACTAATGATGCAAACATACCACCATCTTTCCTGAGAAGATTTTGTGGTGTACCATATTCCACAACTCTGCCTTCACTTAGTACTAGTACAGTGTCAGAGTCAAGTATGGTAGATATACGATGCTGCAAAAGAGACAAACAATCATATTACTAAACATTGCAATTATTGGTGTAAAAAGCATGTATATTATTATCAAATTATTACTTACTGCAATTGTCAAAACAGTCTTATCGGAAAACGCTGTGGCAATAACGCTTTGCAATGTGGAGTCCTACAAATAAATGCGAAAGTGTTTATTGCACATGAACATTGACATGGTATTAATGTTTACATGTTGTATATATATATATATATATTTGTTGAGAAATGAAATAGTGACCAGTAACTCACTGTTTGTAAATCAACAGATGCAGTTGCTTCGTCCATGATAAGAATTCGGCTTTTGCGCAAAAAGGCCCTTGCTAAACAAATTAACTGTCTTTGTCCAGTGCTTATGTTGTCACCTCCTTCTGTAACAATCGTATCTGTAATAAATAACAACTAGATAAATAAGCTCCTAGGAGATATAGTAAAGTATGTTATTACATTAATGGCACGTTAGTTTATTGCATAGTTTACATCTTGGAGTGATGTTTAAAAACTCGTACCTAATTGATTATCCATTTCAATCACGTATCCTTTCATCTGTGCAATCTCCAGGGCATACCATAATTCTGCATCGCCGTACTTACGTTCAGGATCCAAATTAAACCTAATAAAATAAATTATGCATCGAATAATACAGATATGTGATATAGAAAATAGAAAACCGAATGATAATTATGTAAGCAATACGGTTGTGTGTTTTTTTTTCACACACAATACTACAATAAGAATGGATATACCTCGTGTAGCTGACATCGAACCAAAGCGTTTCAAAATTGACTTTGCATTTAATTATACCATGAGACCATGGCATAATTGAGATGCGTATAGGTCAAAGTAAATCCCTCAATCGAATGAAACAATTGCAAATTTGGGGCAATATTAAATCGAATGAGATATTTTAAATTAGATTCGAACATCTAATTTACACTCGTGTCATAAGGTTGGTTGAAATTACCAACATGTAGTTCCGTCTATAAATGCGCTATCACATAATATTAATAACCAGGCTTAGTCATTTATTTTGTCAAAGAAATTAGGAAAATAATAAGCACCGACATACCAATTCATTAATATAAACTCAATAGTTGTATTGAGATTTTAATTTACACACTCACATATGTCAATGTGTAAAGTAGTGCAGGATATATGTTCTACAAACCAAACCAAATCAATATTATTGACAGCTTTATTAGCAAGAACAATAACACGAGAAAAGTTAGGAACTTGCGTGCTCCCCGATCACTGAATATAGATTTGGAAATACTTTGAAAGAATGATTGAAATTCGCAAATGTTGTAGTATACTAGACAGATTCCATGGGCCCATGATGATTATAAAATGAGCATTGAGCAACCTGATATCATCTTTCACAGAAGACCAACACGTTGCACAATATTCACTAGAGATAATATGGCCAATAAGGACATAGTTGAGTGAGAAAGTCGAGCAGTTATAATGTTTATGACTATGATGGTAGTTGTGAAACTATGCCTTTTTAATAGTTGAATACCATAGAGGCAATTAGATTTCTTTATATATATATATATAAGGCATGATAGTAACATTGGAAGAGAAAATGATGATGTTCAGGATTATGAGTCCCATAAGGTGGTGTTTGATGCTCATAGGAAGGAAATGGGGATATGTCATTTGACCTGGCTGTATCAAGGTTGTCAATATATTGTCAATATATGTGATATTGTCATGACAGCATACGGCATGGCAGAACTAATCAATCAAGAAGTTTACTTTCTCTCTAAAGAGATGATTTGTTGTTTAATACATGGTCAAATATGTTGTATGATGAGCTTATGGATGCCCCCACACGCGCACACACCACAACACACATGCATCTAAAAGTATGTTGCAATAAACCTCACAACGCAAGCTCACACTGCCAAATAAAGGCACATCTACAAGCTCACTTTTTAAATTTACAATTTTTTTTGGATAACACATATACAACACTGCGGCATGTTATTATCACTCGGTGCACAATGTAAGGGCAGTACACTAGATTTATGAACTAAAATGTCTTACCGTACAGTACCGCAGAAAAGAACTGGGTCTTGTGGAATAATAGATATTCTACGTCGAAGTGTCAATACAGAGATGTCTGATATATCAATACCATCGATTATGATACGACCTGTTAGATATAACGGTTGGGATATTGGTACATTATATCTAGCCTAGTTCTTGAGATCTAGTATTCGAATGAATGAATAAATAAACATATACGCTATTGTGATTTTAGAGTTGCACAGAAAAAGAAGTCATTCAAATTTCAAGTCAAGTAGTAGGATTAATATCAAATAATAAAGGAAGCAAGCGCACTAATACACCGATGTACTTGTTTATTTGGAATTAGTACCTGTTCTGGGCACAGTTCAGTTATAATGTTTTATTCAAATGCACTTACCTTCAATGATGTCGATCATCCTCAATAATGTGAGAGTGAGGGACGACTTACCACTGCCCGTTCGACCACATATTCCAATCTTCAAGATATGAAAAAATATAACTTTGTATACATATCAGTGACAAATATAATGAAAAAGTTACATCATGCAGTAAATTTCAGTGTGGCTGGCGGATCAATAACATTCTATTGCTATTCAAACTAACTAATAATACAACCAGTGACTGGTTTGGTAGAATAGATGAACCTAGATTGGGCACAATCCACACATTATCTTACACACATGGCCTATATTTACGTTGGAGATTACATGTTTTACTTGGATGATTTTGGCGCATTCGTTATATTGTTATTGTTGAAGACCTACCTTTTTACCGGATCTGAACTTGACGTTCACATTTGTTAACACTGGATCTAATGTATTGGCATAACGTGCTGACATATTCTGTATGGTGATGGATCCTCTGTTTGGCCAATTATCAGGTGGATAAACTGTACCTGCGCATAATGTTTAGAAATCATTTTATCTTGCATATACATTCAGCAAGAAGTTGGGCATTGAATATGGTATGCGATCAGTTGAAGAAAAAAAAAACGTTTAGGGTACCTTCGATTTCTTCGGGAGTCACGTTGGCATATTCTAAAACACGTTCAACTCCATTAAAGCAAGATAACAATCGAACCATAAAAGTCATTAGGAGATTTATCATGTTTGACCCCTGTAAATACATAAATCAGTGTTATATTTGCTTACTGTACATTCAGGTATGCAAAAAAAAAATACTATATATATAAGTGGTCAAAGGTCATCTTTAAATAAAAATATGTTGATAAAAATTTATAATGGCGCATTACACTCACCATTAATCCAGTAGTTATGGCAAGACCCACAGAACTCGGATTGATATTTCCAGTAATAAATGCTAACAAAGCACCAATTCCGAATACAAAAAATAAGAGTGAGCCAATAGTATTCTATAGAAAAAGAAGATTAGTTTTTCCAATATCAACTGAATTGTAACATAGTTGAGAACATAATATGACATAGAATACAATGGCTTCAATTTGATATAGGATTGTGGGATATAGGCAACATGGAATTTTAATTCACCAGGACGCCTCAAGACTCACTAGACCCTGAAAGACTGACATAAAAAGTAAATTATTTGCTATCAAATATGATCCATTACCTCATTATTTTTTTAGCTTTCGCTATCTATTTTCAAACACCTTGGTGCGCCAATTTTGTTTTATAAATTTTACATCAACAAAATAATGAATGTCTTTATAAACTTTAGAATCATGTGGCATTTGTTCTTAAGCTTAACTATTTTTGGCATGAGTAGAATGAACATCCTACTAAGCATGGCCCTGAAATATAATGATATTCTTCCCTTCCCTTCCCTATTCTCCCCATTAAAGTAGTGCCGGTGCAGACACGATAGGTCAAAAATACATTCCCACATCTTCATTTGGGATAAGGTCCGTACATCTTATAAACCTTATCTTATCTTATCATCTTATCTACATCGAGTCAAATAGACTTCCAAGTCATGATGAAATGCTCGCATAAGCTAGCTTGAGTGCAACTGGTTTATGGAGCAGGCGGGCGAACTGATCTTTACCAGTGAACTGAAAACCAGATAGAGCCCATGAGCTGATGTTCCAACCAGCTCTAGTAGGTTATGTCCACCAATGAATGACACTTGCATCTGGCAACCAGAAGGGAATGAGCTTAAGAGAGGCATTCCAAAAAGACAAATGATTTCGTCATGAGCTTCTAAGCATCAGTCATTGCCTGAAATGCACCCTTTATGCCAAGCATCACCTTTTTTGTAGTATTGTATTAGGTGTGTCATAAAACATAGTAACTGCCCAGTTTTAACTTGAGTTAATAACGAGGCAATACCAATAGGCAGTACTTAAGCGTAGCTAATTTTACAATGGCTGTCATGTGATTGATATGTAGAAGCAAAGTACATATATCTGATTCAGGTTATCGTCTATGATGTTGTGATGATTATGTAAATATTAACATATTATTTGCTGAATACAACGGAAATACGCTAAAATTGGTATATCATTATTCTAACCCATTTCACCTCATTGCTCAGTTAAAGTCATTGACTTTAAACACTCGGGATCAAGGTGAAATCCAAGGAATTTACCAACGGACAAATTACATTGTATGTGCTTTGAGATCACTAATACAATACTGACACTAATACTGATGGAATATAAACCAGTACTCATCATTGTTAAAATAATGCCAATAAGCAAGAACAGAGTCCCTGAAGGGAATTTATCTTCCCTTCGGATTAAGGAGATTACCATTTTCAAAAGTATCTACTTAGACTTCAGGGGTACTAGGGACCTTCCATGGCAGGGAGCTAAAATTGCTAACAGTTACCAATATCATGATTTACAAGGTGGAAAAAGTTTTTAAGATCAAGAATGTTATGCATGTGTTCTAGTGAAACGGGTGGGCTATTCCAACTACTTCAACTGTAATTATTGTAAACATCCCCCTGTTTTTGTTCACTTGAGAGCAATTTCACAAATCCATCATTCATACATCTAGGAAGTCGGTCAAAGGCATCGCCACCGAGATATGTGCCTTGGGAAAGATGCCCAGAACCGTCTAGGCTGAGACAATGCAACTTTTTACAGACCAGAGAAAGCATGATCGACCAATACCTAGTAAGCAATCTCTGTGCTATCATTCAAGAAATGTGATCATCCCGCTGCAACTCGGTCGCTGATTGACTGCCAATCACTTGGCTGGTGTATGAAATAAGGATACTTACCAACAATTTGGTTAACTCACGTATTAATTCAATAGCGTAATTTACTTCGAATGAAACATGTACTCTATTTATGTGATCACAGCAAAACAGCAGTACTTACAATCCTTAATGTGTTCCAATTCAATGAGGCACAATAGTATAATTTACACAAACTATTGGCATTCACTGTGTTTCGCATTTGCTTCGTGAACCTTTTATCCGCTCTATAAAATAAAAATATATTCGATTATGACAAGATAGGCATTTCTTGTAAAAATCATTGCCTCATCAATACTGATTTTGACACATATTGTATTGAACATAGTGCAACATTAAATTGGAAGGCCAGATTAAATTGTAAAAGTCAGAGTACTGGGATTGCTGGTATGAAAAAGAAGCCAACAATGTCGGTTTTGAATAACATCAAAGAAAAGAAGAAAGTATTTGTGTAATTGGTCTGTTTGTCCCTGAATTAAACGAGTATATATAACAATAGTAGATGGCAAAATTGTTGAATGAAAATCAAAATAACATACTAAGTAAACGTTTGTTATGTTAAACGTTTTGACTAAATGACACGCTCGTTATGCAAAATTCACTTGAACACATTAACTTTTTGCAGTAGAGTTCATTATTGAAACAAAATTATCACATTTCTGGTACTGAAGATGCTAGCAGAAACACCATAATCATGCATAACTATATAACTTGTATATACATTGGATGCAGTTTTTTTTCTAAAAATATACAACTTACAATAATTGGCTACATGTCTTTTATGATGTGAATTATTCAGTGTAATCCGAATTTTATTTCAAACTGAATAATGGTTGATGGGGAGAGAGAGAGGGAGATGCGACCATTTCAAACGTTGAATGAATGCAAATTCAAGAAGAAGTGATCATGGTTTGGATTGGATGCATAACATGTGTATGTCACTGATTTCATTTATGTCAAATAAGGACAAATATGGTTATCCTATGGAGCTTCGAAATGTGAAAATGGGATATATTACCTAAATGCCCTTATTGTTGATAATCCTCCGCACGTTTCACTAAAATGTGAAAGAATCGGTGACAATGAGACAGTATCCAAACGTTTGATGTCCCTGAATAAAAAAAAGGTTATATACAGCTAGTTTGTCTATTAAACCGAAAACGTTTTTTTTGTGTTTCTTATTGCTTTCAACCCAGAATAATTGTTACAAATTATATTCAAACCACCATAAAATGTTAAACCCTGAAGCTTAACGTGCTCAATGGTAGCTGGATATTAATTTGAAATGAAATTATCAATGACGATATTTGATTGACGACAATTTCATACGAAATAGTGGATCATCGTGGGCAAGAGCACAGAATAATATTTTAAAAATATTTTATGAATAAGAACTATGTCATGTAAAATATTGGTTATTTACTGTACCCCTTCGATTAAAAATGGGAACACCACATTGATGCAAACTAGAGTGATCTTGCTAAAAACTAATTTCTCATAATTGGTGTGTTCATGTTATAGGATAGAAACTCGTATAATCTACCCGACTTGCTATCACATATTCTACATAAAACGTTATTATATATATGTTTATTATATTAATTATAATTAACTAATAAATCATTATTATTATAGTATAATATATTAACTAATAAATCGTATGTGCTCACCGTGGCAATTTGACACCGGCGATTATACATAATACTCCAATCACACCAATGGGTACCACAAGAAGAATAAAATAAGGTGATATAATGGCATTCACTATATAGGTACCAATAAGTGTTGTGAAAGCACCAAATATGCTACTTAGAGATATACAAAGTGCCTTGGAGTGATACAAATATAAAAGACAATACGTTATAGAACATTATTTGAACAAAGTGAACTGCTTGTGAGTTTAAATTATTTAAAAGTATAGGACATACATATCACAATATAAAAAGCTCAAGTATCATAGATACACCACGCCTTGTCTTTACAACACTCGAGTCTCTGTAATACTTACTAAATCTACTGAACGCATATCTGAGGAGAATCTGTTCATAAGTCGTCCAACAGGTGTCGTCTCAAAGAATCGCATGGGTGAATACATAACGTTATATAACAATTTGCTGAATATTCTCTTTGCCGCTGATATACAGAATAAAATTACACAGGCTTTTGTCAAGGTTACCGTGATGATGAAAAAACATATGATGAGACCATATGGCGGCAGATAATATGAGACCACCATCTCTTGTTCAACCTTAAAACAAATCAGTATTTTGATGATGTAATTAGACTTTAAGATGTTTGCTTAGCTGAAATAACATATCAGTTAAGATGTCAACCAGCTGACACGGTTAATTCAAAAGACAACGGTTCTTTAATTTATTCAATTTTTCGTGCAACACATGCCTGTTGATTGTCAATGCTAATTGTATTTTTGTCTCTTAAAAGCCCAAAAGTAAAATAATCTTCATTGGTTCTACATTATATTACCTGGAATAGTTTCCCTGAAAATTTGCGGCGTATTATGTAATTAAACATTTTTATTCAGCGTCACGGCATTTTATTTATGGGGGGGGGGGGTCATAACGTCTCGTTTAGGATATGCCCGTTTCTAGGGTGTGTTTTAGTAATGGCGACGAAGATTTTTTAAATGGAAATAAGAACAGGTCATATTCAAATTTTGAACAATGAAACATAAATGATGATAACCATGCAACGTGTGTGTGAGTTTAAATCATGTACTTAGTCATGGTGATTGGGAATATCACTGTTATTGACAAAAATATACTTCAGCTCTGAAAACTCACGAGATAAGTTTTCATGTTCAAGGGCATTCGTAAAAATGTTACTATTTTTGTATATGTAGACGATCTTGGTTTCGCAATTGTACTGTTTTGCATAATTTGCAAGACTGTAATATTCCCATACAATTTTCTTAAAAGTAACATATACAATTATCACGTGAGAGGCGTCACCACTTTATTATACGTGTCAGTAAAAAATGCATTGGCACAATGATCAATAAAAATTGAGTTTGGGGAAATTATATATAATATTTTTGCGATGAAGACTTTCCGTTTTTGACATTGTAAAATTCTTTCGTTTTTATGCGGAGAAAAACAGTATTTTTACCAAGTAAAATCATATTTGTTAAGGTTATTCTTCATACATGAGTTGTTGAACACACTAAATAGTTTCTAATTTCATCCAGCTTTTTTTCAGTAACAATTCGAGACAAATAAAAGGTAAAAATATAGACATTATAGCAAATTATCTTTTTTCTTTAATATTCTTGTGTTATCGGTAAATATGAAAATTATTTATCGGTGCACAGGATATATTTCGTTATGAGATATTCTGAATATAAATTTCTGAATTATCTTTTTAACTTTTTTCAGGTTTTTTTGACCCAAGAAACGAAAGAATGTCGAAAACGGAAAGTTATCATAAAGTTAATTACACACCCGAGTCTTATTGAGGCTGTCCTGACCAGCTTGTGACCAGTCGGCTATCCACATCTTTAGGCAAACAAAAGCAGCAACTTGTAGGAGTAACACAAACATAAGGACGCCTATATGTGTAAATTTGAACGCCTGACAATACAAATATAGCATAGTCCATCCGTCAGTTAATGGCGGGCGTTCCTCTTCGACAAGTGGAGACCCTTGTTGAAAAAAGAAATATTCATATATATAAATATATCAGATATTTTCATGAAAATCAATGCTGTTTGATAGTGTGATATAGACCTGCTACCACCTGTTGTTAAGCAATATGAAACAATATAACGGAGCACTAGAACTTGCTTGCACACCAACTGAAATGGTTTATCAGGTCATGATCAAATTTTAACCCCTGACAACAAACATTTAGCGTATCATTAATGGCTGTACACACTTATGAAATACTATAAACATAAATGATACAAGGAACTACGCCTTATTATTAGCTAAAACAAACCACACAAAGCAGTGACTACAGCGGAGACATTCGGTACATGTCAATATGACCAAACCATTTTGATTATAGGGGTGTCATGTACTATCACTTGAATGTCTTTCAAAACAATTCCTTTGCTATAAAGCATAACACAAACGCTAATTTGGAGAATTCACTTATCAAATATTAAATTATTAAAATCAGAATGGCGAAAGAAACACACAATTCAAAAATTACAAAACAGTAGGGTTTCTAAAAGATTGTGTTGTATACTGCCCTCTATGTCCATGCTGTGTACTGTCGTTTTCATCCTGTGGATCATGCTTGTCATGAATTCTTATTATTTATCTTTATTTTTATTTTCATTTGAATATGTTATTCTGCGACGTGCACGCATGGATATAGAACCATATTAAGAACAAATCAAAAATGTGCAACAAAGAGGTTTTTTTTTCATTCATGCTAAATTTTGTGCCAATTCTAGATAATTGTGCTGCTGGTCTTTATTTAAACACGTTAATTTGGTGATATTAAATAATCAATACGGTACAGTAAAATTTAGCTTTTATGTGTTATAACACCATTTGTGTACGGGGAGTCGGCTGTCAATGGGGAGGAATTCTTCTTAAATAATAAATTAATTGTTTTTAAACAATTACCAAGGTTTAACTACAAATTGTGTGTTCTGAGTCATTTTGAGCTGAGGTAACTGTCAAGCCAATGTTTCCCAGGCACACAACATAAAACTAATACATTAAGAACAAGACAACAACACTTTACATCAAACCCGGCAATTAATAAACACTAAGTTCTACAATTAAGCAGAATGTCCGAATATAATTTTCAGTTAAAGCGTTGCTTAATAATAACTGAAACTAAATCGGATATCAGCTGCGCACGCGGTACCATTGTCTACTGACCAGTGACTATTTATTTACGATAACATGAACCATCATCGAAAAGATCACATTCGCGACGTTATAATGAGAATTGTACCACAGTGCACATTGATGTATTATAATCATTTTCAACATCAGCAATTAAAATCTCCAATATATATATACTGTTTTGCATTGTATGATGGGGGTAAAGCCTTTGGTCCAGTGGAGAGCGCGTCCGTAAACTAAGAATAGGTTTTCTCGCTTCTGGTATCCATTTAATATAATATTAAGTATAAGTCTCTTCATTTGTCATCGATTTTCGAAACAATTTACTTACCTTTTTTGCTTGTCTTACTTTTTCGAGAACGTACTTGTTTGCGCTTGCGTTTGATAACCAATTCATCCTTTGTTTCGTTTTCTGAGTCAGAAATTGTTGATATTATTTGTCGGTACAACTCCCTGTTGTGAACTCGTATTTCACGTAAAGTCCCTTTCTGTATTATCTGTCCATTGTCCATAACCAAAACCTAGAATGACATTAAATGAAATGTTATTATCGTAAATGAGATATGTATGCGTTGATTTCGTCATTGCAATGTCATAGTTCCCGTCAAGTGTCTTCAATATATTTAAATCGTAAAACTATTATTGTATTACCATGGCCGCCAGTCAGCTAAATTTGATCCGATAGCAAAACAAATGAGGTTTGTTTGTACACAGAATATAGTTTAAGTTCAAACATAGTTACTGCAAAATGGGAGTTGCCCAATTTGAGTGAAATATCGAAAAAATAACGTACACCTACAAACTAAATATACAACGAGGTTGGATTACAATCACCAAATTTGATTAGAATCAACCAAGTCACTTTAGAATTTAGGTCATATTTGATCGAATTAAAAAACAATAACACGAACGTGCTTGTGTATGAGATCGTGTATTTAATTCCGATTGGACCAACAATTTATAGTGACCACAATAATAATATTGAAAATACGCTCACATATCCTTCAATATTTACTCGATTTAGAATTACTGACCTGATTAGCATGTTCTAGATGTTGAATCTGATGAGTTACAAGTATAACTGTACGCTGTTGCTCACAAAGGAATCCTAATATTGCCTTTTCCATGACGTGCCCACTCACGTGTACATCTAATGCCGACAAGGGGTCGTCCTAAAATAGAAATTATACCTAAATATTAAAATTGTTAGTGAAATAATATCAACTAACGAAGTATATTTCACATTGCGATGTTCATTTTTACCACATAACCAACACAGTCAATAACATTTATAAGAATAATGTAGTAATCGAATACTCACCAATATGACTACGTCAGTATTGCTGTACAAAGCTCTCGCCAAACAAATCCTGTGTTTCTGCCCCCCACTAATGTTAATACCTCTCTCGCCTATTTCTGCCAAATCACCTCCGGGCAAACTGTGTAAATCTGGAGTTAATGCACATACTTCAACAACTGTGTTGTACCTTAAAGTGAAATAAAGGTAATAAAGTGTTTTTTTTTTTTAAACAATTCTTGTACCATTCACTATGTTGGACATAGGTCATACCTAAAAATGTGTGCGAAGTATGGAACGATCACTAATAACGGTAACGTAATGA